CTGAAGCTGGGCAAGCTCTCACTGGTGGAGCTGGAGGAGCTGCTCGACGCCGTGCATGGGAAATCTATTGCTGATGTCGACCCCCAGCTGGTGAGCAGCAGAGATGGAGTCATGGTGCACAGTAGCCGCTGTTCTGCTCTGGGGAGGGAGTGGGGCACTGGGTGAAGGGCCTGCAGGCCACATCTATTCCTGCTTGGTATGAAGATAGAGGCAGGCACATAGCTCCTAGCTGGCAGGAGAAGGGGGAGGCTGCATGACCCGTCTATGGAGAGTGGATAGCTCTGGGTCAGTGTTCCTCGGGCTGTGGTGGATGCATCTGATTTGGGGTCTGAAGGCTGCTGTAGCATCATGGCCGCTGGTGCCATGGCTAGAGGGCAGCTGAAATCGGCCCTTTCCCATGCCTGCAGGGATGCTTCCTCACCATGACAGTCTCCTGGTACCAGAGCCTCATCAAAGTGCTGTTGAGCCGCTTTCCCCAGAGCTGTCGGCACTTCCACAACGCTGAAACCGGCACCCAGTATCTGGTAAGTCCCAGCCCGTCACCCACCTGCAGCCCCTCTCCCCTGTCCAGGGCCCCTGCCTGCTGTGTCTTCTCGCAGTGTGAGCCTGTGTGCTGTCAGGACGATGTGGGCACTGTCACGATGTTGCTCTCCACTCTGCTAGTGGTGCAGCGTGAGTTGTGTGCTCCTGTGGTACACCAGTGTCTTTGTCTGCCCCCAGGCAGGCAGGACACTGTTCACGCCCAGAGCCTCATGCCATGTATAGCCCCATGGTTTGGCACTGTCACCTGTGAGCCAGGCAGACTTGCACCTTCACGGTTCTATCATGCCACTCGTCCTGCACGTCAGCATGTCCCTGGGTGGGTGGTGTTTGTATCCCTGTCCTGAGGTTTGTGCTGTCTCCTTTGCAATGTGTGCTGTGGCTCTCTTGACAGGTTGTGCTCAACCAGAAGTTCACGGATTGCTTCGTTCTTGTGTTTCTCGATTCCCATTCAGGAAAGACGGTAAGAACTTGGGAATGTAAGAGCAGCTGTATTGGCTCAGGCCGGGAGTGCGTCTAGATTCATCCAGCAGTTGCCAAGGGCAGGTGCCCATGGGGAGAATAAGAGCAAGTCAAGAAGCTTGTTAACACCTTTTCCAGTTATGTCCCAGCCTCTGACAAACTGTGGCCCAGGCCTGTCCTGAGCTATAGGTGGCCTTTGCATTTATTTAACAGCCCTCCGCAGCTTTATTTCCTTTGGTTAATTTGTGGCATCCATGATTTCCCCTGACTTGCTGCTCCATGATGCAGTTACAGTCTAGGTAAAGAGCTACCTTCCTTGGCTTGTTTTTGAACCTCCTTCTGCTTCTTTCATGTGATGCCCCTTTGTTCTTTTATTGGAAAACACTGAGCAGTTGACCCCCTTTTCCTTCACAGGGTTGCTTTTGCATTGTGCTCTCAGCTGTCTCTCTACCCAGGCTGAAGAGTCCTTCTGTGTTCAGTCCAAAGCCAGAGCATGCTGAGCCTGGCTGGGAGGGGTCACCAGTGCTGCAGGCTGCTCCTGTGTGGGTAGAAGGGAAGGGGACCTGCAACGTGAGGGTCCCAGCAAACCTGCACAGGCCTTGGTCTTCACTGGACTTGAGGGCAAAAATACTCCGCTTTCAGCTGTGCTCCCAGGCAGGGTGCAGGATGGGTCACAGGGAATGCAGCTCCACATGAAAGCGGGGGATCTACAAGATGCTTCAGTCTACAGTGAGGCTTTTGTGGAGACTGCAGCATGTCTGATCCTTTAGTAAATGAATTACAATCCATCTTAAAAGCAGGTAGAGGAGACAGAAGAGGCGGTGCCTGCTGGAAGGCTGCTCAGTGCCTCCTACCACCTGATGGTGAAGAGCCCTTCCCATTTTGTGCTGGAGCTTTTGTCATCTCTGGTTCTATCATCTTCCTGCCAGTGGTAGCTCAGAGCTGAAACTGCTCTTCACTGTGTGGGTACCTGCTTCCTCCCCAGTCTCCTAGATTCACCTCCACATCTGAAGGTGGAATTTTTGCTAACTCCGTGTTGCTGTGTTAAGCAAGCTGAGCTCTTAAGCCTGCCTTCCCTTCTCCAATGGCTTCATTGTCATTCAGAGCCCTTCAGGGCTCAGGTTAGCCTTTGTAAATGCAGGTGTCCAGGACTGCATCCAGTATTGCTGAGGAGTCTCAGCAGAGCCTTCTGCGATTGCACCAGGGTTTTTCTGTCCCTGCCTGGTCCTTTTGGTACAGCCTAGGGTGGTATTTGCCTTTTCATGGTCATGTCTCACTGGTCACAATGTCATCTTGTGGTCATTGATATGATACGCCCAGAATCTCCATCACCTCTCCCAATGACTCCCATCTTATAACAGAAGTCCTTCGTGTCCCTCGCCTTTTATTTCGCACTTAACATTCATCCCAGTCCTGCGGCCTCTCAAAAGTCTCTAGGTCTTTTTTTGCATTATCGCAATCCTCTTTTGTATTAGTGCCTCAAATTTTATCAGCATGCTCCTCATCTTTGTGCCAGACTCATTAAGGTACTAGGCAATATGAGTCCCAAAACCTGTCCTGGAGAAACTCCATTTGTAACCTCTCTCCACCCTGCTACTTCTCCTTCCAGCACTACCATCTTCACCTTATAATTTTTGTGTTAATTCCTATCTTTTCAGCTTACCTAAATTTCCCATGTGGCGCTACATCAAATCCTTCCTGAAGCTCAGATAAGATACACCGTGATTCCTTTGTCTAGAAATATTACCTTATCAAAGAGAACCCTAGCGTTAGCACATCACTTCAGTAACACTGAGCTGCATTTTCCTTGTAGTTCTTTCTCTCCAAGCCTGCTCTAAAGCCTTGCATGCTGCCAGAGTTATGCTCACAAATCACTTCCTCTTCTCTCTTAAATGATGGTGGTGCATTTGCTCTTTTGCAGCTACACAGCTGTTCTCATGGCTTTACAAGTTTGTTAGGGGACCCTGGCTACAAGATGTGCTGCGTTTCAGCTCTGGAGAACATCCAGTCCTTGTGTCTTGCCTCCATGACGCAGATCTCGGTGCACTGAGTTGCTCACTTTTTCTTCTGCTTCAGCTCCTGCAACCTTATGTTCTGAACCCTGTTCTCTGCCCCCTCTGCCCTTGCCCTGCCTTGTCAGTACAGTCACTAATGAGAATGGAGCAGCCAGCATTTATTTTCGGGATTGCAGTTATTACATTTAATCTCCTCCCCTTTCCCATTTGTTGCACTCCTACTCTTTGCCTTAGAAGAAGAAATTTCCCTCTAATTTCCCTGGAAGCCCCTATTACTGTGGAGGCAGTAGGATCCCTTCCTCTCCTGAGGCTGCTGCTGGGGTTGGTATAACTGCAGATGCACAGGGGCTGGGACAGAGGGAGTGGGCAAGTCCTTGCACCTAATTTCCAACAGGAAAATTGGGAGGAGGCTCAAACATGCTCTGTCACAGGAGGAGGCGCTAGCTTAGTACCATTGGCATTTGGGGACTTCTCCCAGTATCTGCCTGACACAGCCAAGGAAGTGCCCACGCATCTGGGCTAGTGATGGCCCAGTGCTTGTCTGAATCCTGTCCCCTGACCTGCTCTTTCTTCTCGGCAGAGCCTCACCGTGGTTTTCCGGGAGCCATTCCCAGTGCAGCCCCAGAACAGCGAGAGCCCTCTGCCACAGCTTGTGTCCACGTACCACCACCTGGAGTCAGTTATCAACACCGCCTGCTTCAACCTCTGGACAGGCCTGCTCTAGCACTGGCACCCACATCCTGGAGCGACAGACGTACCGGACCTCTTGGCATGGCTGTGCCATGGGTGACAATGGGGAAGAACAGGCCTCGGGGGGGGGACCTGTGCTCCGGCACTGCAGGCAGCGCTGCTAGCAGCACGCATGGCTTCTGAACTGAGGAGCCTGGGGATGAGTGAGGGCAGCCTGCCTCCTCCTCTTGGGCTTCAGCCCCAGCTGTAGCTCCATCATTCGCTGGCTGGCTGGCGTGGCCCTCGGTGTGCTGTTTTCAGTGGGTTTGATACTGAATGACCTTGAACCAAACTGCAAGGGTGGGAGCTTGGCTGCTGTGGCTTGGCTGAAGCAGAGCAGCTCTCAGGGACATGGCTTTGGCACCCGCAGGCGAGTTCTGCGTGCCGGGAGGGCATGGAGGAGCACACCCAGCATGTCTTCTGCACAGGGCAGCACTGCACAGCGCTCCGGCTTCAGGCAGAAAGACTCCCAGACTTCAGGGCTCTGGGCAGTGAGGCTGCCTACTTCTGGCCCCTTGCTTTCATGAGGAGAGCACCGAATGGGACAGGAAGGGTGAACTGGACCAGGGGAAGGTTTTATGCAGATGTACATTAAAGCCATTGATATATCTGTGAAATAAACTGAACTAGATCCCCACTCACGTGCCATAGGCTAGGATGTGGAAAGCCTCCCATAGGGGATGCAGAGGCAACCCTGGCTGCGGGGCTGGCTGGGTTTGCTCTGGAGTCTCGCACTTGCTCTGGAGCAGGAGCAGCAGGGCAGTCAGCCCCAAGTGGCCGTGGGCAGGCAGCCCCCAGCCTGTTACCTTGGTTCAGGCAACCTGCGAGGGGGCTGCTCGCTTCGTTTTCCCCACCTGCTGCAGGGTCAGTGCTGGGCACTGGCAGCAGCCTCGAGAACTGCAGGACTTGGAAGCCCAGAGCCCTCTTCCCACAACTGCAGGCACCAGCTGGAGCTGGACTGGGAAAACTCGCACCATTCCCAAGGAGTGAATGCTCCCCTCAGCAGGAGGGGCTGGAAACCTCTCCCTGGACACCCCTGCAGGCTGGAGGTGAAGGTGCTCCTGTGTACCTCAAGTCACCCGCAGTGGTGCCCATGCTGTCCCCAGATATGTCATGCTGCAGGTGGTGCTTGAGTAGATGAGGGTCCAACTGCTTGGACTGGCCCAGTACAGCCTGGGGAAGGGCAGTAGGTCATAGATTAACTATGTAACTTTGCCCCAAGTCATAGAGAAGACAGATGTACTCCTGTTAAGCCATTGCTTTGACTTTTATTCCAGTTTTTTCCCTTGTTTTACTCTGCTGCCTTGCTAGTCCCACCGTGCTGCAGGCCTCGGCTCTCCCAGTATGAGCGCAGCCAGCCCAGACCTTCCAGGGTGTCCCCTGCAGTGACAGACGTGGTCTCCTGCTGGCACCCCGGGCAAGCCAGAGCAGCTGCTGTTTTCGGCAGGGCTCTCATCCCCAGGCAGGGACGCCGATGCCCACTGCCTGCCTCCCCCGGGACATGCCTGCCTTTGCACAGTCCCCAGCCAACTGGTCCATGCTGGGACCTGCCAGTGGGGCTTGGACCACCCACAGCCCAGGCCCACTCACCTTTCGGAGCATACTCGCACCCCACGTAGCCAGTGTAGCCGAGGGACTCCAGGAACTTGAAGATATAGGGGAAGTTCAACTCCCCAGGGCTGTCGGGCTCATGCCGCCCTGGCACCTGTGCTATCTGGATATGACCTAGGGAGGGAATGGGAGATGCTCTGCCCAAGGCAGCCCTGCCTGCGGCCTTCTCTACGCATGGGACAAGGTGACCCAAGAGCAGACCCTTGCCTCCAGCCAGCCACAGCAGAGCATGGGGCAGTAGGGCCCCATCTCAAAGCCATTCCTGCCCCATGGCCATAGAGGAGCCTGTTTGGGTGCAGGGTGTTACCGATGAGTGGGAAGTATGTCTCCAGGTTATGTGACAAATTCCCATCCATGATCTGGCAGTGAAAGAGGTCCTGTGGGAGAGAGGAGATGGATGGTGCAGCCATCCAGCAGTGAGCAGTCGAGGACGGCTGTGCTATGGTCCCTGTCCCTCCCCACATCCCCAGGAGGGGGATAACAAGCTCACAGCCCCTGGGCCGGCCCTGGGCCTCCCCTGTGGGCCTGTGCAAAGTTCCCTGGTGGAGGGTAGACCCTGGAAATCTTCAATGTTGACTCACCAGCTGCAGCTTCAGGTTGGGCCGTCCCACCTTCTCCAGGATGGCAGCAGCTAAGGGTGCAAGAAAAATGAGAGACCATCACTCCCAGGCTGGAAGCTTCATGGTGAAGCCCTGAGACTCCCGTTCATCAGCTGTGCTCCCTCAGCATCTCCCTGCAGGTGAGGCAACCTCCTGCTTTTCAGACTTTGGGGATCCTCCTCCTCCCTTGAAGGAGACTTTAGGGAGAGATGTCTGCCTTACCTTGCTGTGGGGTGTTCAGAAAGTAGCGAGGGTCAGTGATGCGGTTGTTAATAGGCTCCACCAGTCCCATCATGTCTTCCTGTAACACAGTAACGTCACCCTGTGGCACATCCTGTCGCCTCCGCAGCACGGAGTGCTCCCTCCGCGTGCCAGGCTGCTGGGGGGTTCTCCATCCTCGGCACCCTAAGAGCTGCACCCACGGAGCAGGACCCGTTCCCCGCTTACCTGGGCCAGGAGGTCAGCAGCGTATCTCAGATTCTCAATGAAGGTGGTTTCCATCTCACCTGCCACTGCTGCCCGGTCTGCGCCCAGGGGAACCCGCCCAGCCATCAGGTGGATCCTGCAGACACGGAGAGATCAGCCACAGGCAGCAGCTCCAGTCTCCAAGCAGCTGGGTGGATCTAATACACCTTCCTTGGCCGATGGAAAACAGGGCCAGGCTGGGGAAGCAGACACAGAAGCGGTTAAGAGGAGCCATCTCCTGTGCAGGAGGCATGACAGGCGCCAGCAAGCTGCAGGGACGCCAACCTGCAGCATCCCACCTCAGTATGCAGAGGGACATCTTTGCACCTTTTGTCTGACAAATCACAGACCTCGATTCTTCCCTCTTTCGCCAGCTGCCTCCAGCTCTTCTAGCCCAAGGCTGGAGCTTTCTTGGGATCTCACTCCTGGGGCTGCCCCAAGGCCAGCAGGATGGGCAGCAGGCATGCTGCCTCTGCGTGGGGCAGGTCGGAGGCCTTGTTTCACCACTTGCTGGCTTAGAGCAGGGAGGGGACGGTGGCCAGCGCTGGGCTATGCCGGGCTGCGTGCAGAGCTCAATGGCCAGGCCAGAGCAAGGCTCTTCAGCAACCATTTGGGGAAGGTGTACAGCAGAAACAAAAACCTTTTCACTCTGCCCGTTACCGGAGAGTGCAAAGGGGTCTGGGCAACCCCTGGCCTGCCTGGCCCATGCCCTCTGCGGGGCTTTGGACTGCATTTCTAAGGGAAATAATGATGCAAAGTAAATGGAATAAAAAGGCCATGTTGGTTTTCTGAAGGGGGTTGTGCCAGGCTAATTGCATCTCTTACAGTGTCTCTGCTGTGCTGTGATCAGTGTGGCCTTCAATAAAGCAACTGCTGTGGTGTCCTGGGGGAAACGACTGGTATAATTGGGGAGGAAAAAGGGAGGATTATCACAGGACTGCTGTGCGGAGGTGCAGACAAGAGCCACGACATGGAATGGCAGGGTTGGATGAGAGGGCCTGCCAGCTTCGGGGCTGCTTCCAGCAAGCACATTAAGGCCGTGGCCCCACACGCAGGGGCCTGCAACCACCTGGCTCCTGCCCATGGGCCCGAGCAGGGAGACGCTGCCGGGGAGAGGCTCCGTGACCCGGCGGGGTGGAGGCACAGTGGTGCAAAGGGTAAGCCCCGCTCGGAAGAAGAGCTGGAGCAGGAGGGCTGTGGAGGAGTGCTTCGGAGCCGGGAACCCACTGCCACGGGGTCAG